CTGCATATTCCTGAGAGATCATCACCAAAGCAGATTTTTTTTCCCCGAAAACAGAGGCCTCTTCTCCAGATAGTATTTCCTAGCCATCTCTTCTATAGATGCCCTTCTAGGCCATTGTTTCTGATGATCTTGGCATACTCCTTGCCTGACATATAAGGGACTCGGGGTCTTGCTGGGTCTTCAAAATCAACATGGAAGAGACCAAACCGGCTGCTGTATCCTTGGTTCCACTCAAAGTTATCCAGAAGAGACCATGCACAATACACTTGAAGATTGACTTTATCAAGTTGGATAGCTGAAATTTTAAAAACAGAAAAATTACCATTTCTCCAAAGGTTTTACGAGAACACAGACAAAATCACTGATGAGCAGTCTGGGTTTCTTTCTCCTGCTCTGCAGGGGAGCACAGTGGGAACAGACAAAAAAAATGGTAAGTATGTGAGGCAATGCATATGTTAATTAGCTTGATTTAGCCATGCCACATGTGTGCATATATCAAAGCATCATGTTACAAATCATAAATACAACTTTTAATTATTTGCCCAATTTTTAAAAATTCCCTTTCCCAGTTTTCTGCTTGAACCAAGCAAGAAATTCATTCAATAAGTTAAGTTACATATTATTCTAATTATTTGGTCATTCATTCATTTTGACATTTGTTTTATTCATTCATTTACTCAATACACATTTTTTCAATACCTATCACTTTTTAGGCACAAAGACACACACACACACACACACACAAATGAGTTCCTCTCTGGTACCTGGAAGTGTATTCAGTAAAGATACTGTCCAGCTTCCAGGCACAGCCTCTAGATATTCCAGAAAGTCCATTAATAAGTTGGAAGAGATGGCAATAGCATGCCTGAGGAAGCCCTAGAGCTTACCTGTGTCGCCATGGCCAAACTGAGACATGTCTTATAATTCTGGAGACAGAACCTCCAAAATGAAAAGGGTCAGCACACAGTTCTGACCATGCTTATGTCCTAGGCTGAGTGAGCACAAAAATGCTACAATATCCTTTCTTAGTCTGATTAAGTAGCTATAACAGAACATTACATACTGGGTGGCTTATAAACAACAGAAATTTATTTCTGACAATTCTGGAGGCTGGGAAGTCCAAGATCAAGGTGACAGCAGGTTGCATCCTAATTCATAGATGACTGTGTGACACAGCAGGACAGCATCCTGCTGTGTCTTTGTATGGCGGAAGGGGAGAGGGAGTTCTCTCCTGTCTCTTCTTAGGGCACTAATCCCATTCATGAGAGCTTCGCCCTCATGACCTAGTCACCTCCAACGTCCCCACCTCCTGAAAACATCACATAAGGGGCTAGGATAGCAACATATATTTGGGTGGGACACAACTTTCAGTCTATAGCACATTCCCTTTGGCCCAGCTCTGAATTCAGAGTGGTGCTTAAGCCCTTTAAGGGGCAAAGCAATGGATCACCTCCCCACAAAATGTACATATGCACAAATACTCTATGTAATTTTATTTGTGGATGCCCTTAAGCCCATCCATGAACTCCATGTTAAGACATCAAAGTGTGGAAAATTCTCTAAATGATTTTACACTGATTTCTATCACTTTAGTCAGGGAATTAAGCTCACTTTTTATTAGTATTTTAAGTTTGTCAAAATTCTGAGGTCATATGAGTCTTTGCATTGGGCATTTTCTTTTTAAACTCCAGAATAAATAAATTCAATATATGGAATGCACTAACATTCATTTCTCAGTGCAGAAATTAAATGAAAAAGCAGATTTGCTTTACAAGATGAATATATTTCTGGGTGAAAATGAACATTGATATAATAAATCAGATTTTAATTGTGTTGGCGATGGCTTTCAACCAAAATGACCTCTAGCTAAACATTCAGCAAAGCAAGATCTGCCTTTTAATTTTTTCTTTGGTGTCAATCCACATTTTTCTGGTCTCTTAAAAACACTACACTCATATTCTATTACACATGTGTTGGTTTTCAAATATTCTTGGAATTTTTTTTGACTGTGGATACTCCATAGACAAAAGCTCCCTGACAGGTTAATTGGCACATAACCCCTTCACATTTGTGCATGGAGGCATGCAAAGCGCTTTGCTTAGAGAGTGCCTTATAAATGGCCTTGAGGCAGGAATTAAGCCAAGCTGGATTGGCTCTTTGTAAACATAGTATTGCTGGAAAATAAAAAATATAGCATTCAAGCACATTAAGCTGTGCAGTAATAAAATCATTTACTAGATACTCCTTCTTCTCCTACCTGTCCACATTTGCCATGTGTCCCTCCTTCCCTCTCTGTCAGTGATAATCTGGAAAATATCAGGTTTTTAATAATTTATTTAAAAAAATTAAGTACTGAATGGCATATCTCTAAGAATCAAAATGATCAAAGCCAAATACCAAGTCAAGAAAACTTCGATCTCTTTTGTCTTATAATTCCATCTGGGGACATGTAAGAATTTGTATATTTTCTTTCTCATTTGCAGAACTACTGCCCAACAAGAAAGCCTGCCAGGTATAAAGCTACACATGGTCCCACTGATCACGTATAAAAGGATTGATTCATGTGCTAAACCAGGGGATAAAAATGATGCCCTGCTTACTTGGAAAGGAACAAAAAGGAAATCTTGACAATTTCATTGTTAACTGCCAGGAGTTCCACAGCAGGCACTAAACTGCCCGAGTGACACTGGTGGATATCTGTGCATTTTCATTGCAGGAACATTCAAGTAGAGAATTACCTAGTTAGGGCTGAGGAACTAGCCTGCTGGAATCCTTCTCACTGCGCCATTACTGGGAAAAATTACAAAACCACACTGGAACCTGCACACCTCTACTATTCCGATCTCCTCAAGAATGGATAGAAACCATTATCCCATTTCTTGACACCATGATTTATGAGGTCCAAAATCTTGGCAGGGAAAAAACACTTCTATGGGTTTGCTTTCTTTCTTTAACCAGCGTTGGAGGAATAATAAACTCAGACTGTCAGGAACTATGGGTAGGTACAAAGCACACTAGGATTAAAATTATACCCATCACAAAGTCAGAGTTTGTTTTGGAGTACGAGGCCAGTGGAAAGGATCTCATTGTCAGCAGGTTGGAGGTAAAAATGCAAGAAGAAAAATAACCAAGCCTTGCTAATATGTTGCAGCTTTGGTCAGCCTGTTCTAATTATAAGAACCCCATACTGGCATTGTGCTATATATGTACACACAAACTTACATGCACACTCACACAGACACATGCACAGATATACAAACTGAAAAGGTTGAGGGCACGACCTCAACCATACGATTTCCTTCTCTTCTGACACCAACTGCAAGTTCCAGGGGTTCCCAAAACCACCTTCAGTTTTGGCAATTTGTTAGAGGGTCTCACAGGACTGGCTGAAAGTTGTTATACTCACAGTTACAATTTATTACAGGAAACAATAGAGATTAATATCAGCCAAAGAAAGAGATACATAGGGCAGGGTCTGAGGGATTCGAAACATGAAGTTTCCATTATCCTCTCCCATAGGAATCAGGACACATTGCCCTCTTGGTACCAATGTCAACAATACATACATATTATTGCCAACAAGGGAAGCACGCCTGAGCTTCAGTGTCCAGAGTTTTTATTGGGGGCTTTATTACAAAGGCATGGTTGGTTTACTGAATGCTCATGTGGCTGAATTCAGTTTCCTGGTCAACTAAAATCAGGTGATCCAAAACCCCCACCCAAAATCACATTGTTGGTCTTTCCAGCATGAAAAACCCCCACCCTAAACAAAAACATTTTTATCAAGTATGGTATATATTACCTCCTAGAAGCTGATAGCAAGTACCAAACATATGTGTGTAGTAAATAAAAATTAAATTCTTTACTACATACATGTGTGTACACTCACACACACACACACACACACACACACACATTCATACACTTATTTTAGAAACTATTTTATGGTACTGCGTCGAACTTTCTCAAGTTACTGGTTTAAGAAACATCATAATTACTCCTGTGTTTGTCACATTATAAGAGTTTAGAAATAGCTCAGCATCGATAGGATTTATTTTCCCACAATTTATAAACAGAGATAGAGATAGCTTTTGTTTTCAGGATGGCCTAGTACTTGTATAAGAGACCTATGGGTGTGGCAAAACTATCATACTATCAAACAAATCACTAATCCACAGACCCAAGATGCCATGACAAGAATCAGTGGAAATTTTCTAGACAGTGAAAAAGGCAGGAGGCTCATAGAAGAGAAAATGAGAGCAATAAAGCTTGAGGAATGAGTGCAAAGGAAAAACATAGCCCTCTAGATTTTAAGTAATGGCAAGCTACATCATCCAACTAAATTCTCCTAATGAAAATAAATAGGAAATGCTAAATACAATTTTTACATAAATCTTCAAAACAATGGAAAACTGACAATTTAGTATTGAATTTCAAGGTGGAAATTGAGATGGGTAGACATGCCACCTACCTTTTCCTGGTGTAATTTTCCAATCTTAGGATATCTAAATCTTTTTCTGTCTTCCGAAAGGAGGATAGATGTCCAAACTCAGAGTCACATCAGGTGGGAAATCTAGTATGAGACCCTCATTGAGAAAACTAAGAACCCAAAAGACTACACCTTCAGGGTCATGGTGAGAGTGTGCCAGAAACAAACTGGTCATTGGGACATCTTGAGTCACCCAGTAGTTTACCAAATGTCAAGTCTGGTTCTTGGCTCGAGGTGATGCCAGACTGGCAGTACCCCAAGTGCCTGGAAGATATACATTCAAATTCTTTTTGAAGGGAGTTACTTATATTCTAAACCTCCATTTTTAAGTATAATCATTAGCATATAATCAAATACAACCAGACAGACATAGAAAAATGATGACATAAAAAAACAGAAATCACCAGAATCTACAGATAATTGAAACAAACTCACAAAGCATTCATTCAGTTATTAGAATTGACATACAGACTGTGTAATAACCATATTCACTATGTTTTAAAGCAAAGTGACAAACTTGAAATATCTTCAAGGTTCACAGAATTATAAAAATGAATATGGCATATTTGGAAAAGAAACCTCTACGGTCTTGGGTTTTAATCCCACATGCATCAGTTACTAGCTGAAAGGAGCCTCTCATTTCTCATGAGTACAGTGGAGACACTAATGTCTACTTCTAGTGATGTTGTAAAGATTAAATGGAATAACGTGAACCCCAGCACAACACCCAGCCCATGGGTTTCTGTTGCTTTCCTTTCTGGCCACTTCTTAGGAGAATGCAGAATCCAAGGTGAAAATGTTCTTAG